ATTTCAATTACTCAAATTTTTTATGTACAATTTATACTTTCAGAATCTGATACAACTTGCATTCATTGCAATTCAACCAATTCAAATAAAAATAATAGTAATTTTTAAGTTTTCTTGATTTAAATTTAATTTAAAAATATTTCTCATTTTTTGAAATGTTACGCGAATTAATTTTTTTTATTTTTTTTAGGCGAAAATTATCCCCATTGGCCCTGTGGAGACTTCATCATAAAATATTCCGAAGAACCTAAGGATTGGCTTCAAAGTGGCTGGGCTTTTAATTGCATTGAATCTAAAAGAAATCCTACTTATAATGCTAAATTCAATAATAAAAAATGCTTAGGGATAATTGAATGTGCAGAATGCGAAGCTCAAGTTAGACCTATAATTAAAGGCCATGGAAAAAAAATAGATGAGCAACTCGTTAAAGGATGCCCATTACCTACTTGCAATGGTATATTAATTTTATTTATATTCATCAATAATACAAACAACTCATAAAATAAAAATTTATTAAATATTAGGCTCATTGAGATGGGTTGAATGCGCAGCAAATTGTAAGTTTGTCAAATTGGACAAACCCGACGAAAATGGATTTATCTTCTTTTTTTTACATAGAGGACATCATGAGCACAAAAAACCTATACAAAAAAAACCATTTAATACTCAGAATGAACAATTTAAAGAAAGAATTCGCGCAGCACCTGACACTTTACCAAAAAAATTGCAAGTTGGTCAGTCTTTAAATAACAACCACCCTTTGGCTTCAGTTAGAAAAATTTCAGATGCCTTTGCCAATAGTGATCGCATTGGATACTACCGACGCAAAACAATTGAAGAAGAAAATTTAATTACAAAAACATCTCGTCATAGTGATGATAATTTTATAATGGATTTCCTTGATTTTCAAAAGGTTCATACAAATTTTGTTCGCAAAGCTGATCTTGTAAATAAAGGCATAATTGTTTTGCAATCAGAGTGGATGGAAGCTCAAGCATTCTCTGAAAATAATTTTTCGGGTATCTTGACAGACAGCACATATAAATATTTTAAAAATGCTTTTCTATTAACAAGGTATGTGTTATGGGTTATATAAAATATAAAATATAATATTTTCATTTCATCTTTACTAATTTAATTTTATTTAAATAATAGCTCCATTTATTGTCCACTCTTGCAAAGATGGGTTCCGATTTTGGTTTCTATAATTATGAGAGAGGATGGAATGCATTATAAAGAACATTTTAGGTATTTGTTCACTTGGATTGACAGCTTTAAAAATAACAGAGACACAAACAATCTTTATGCCCAAGTGATAGACTTCAGTGCAGCAGAACGTAATGGTTTTATAGATGCATATGTTGAGCATGGACTTCAAAAATCATATAATGCAAATTCTTCTTTACCAGCCAGTTTAGCAAATACACATAGAGAAATCCTGGAAAAAGAAGCTAAATCCTTGTTGAAAGGTTGCCAGGAGCATTTCCGTCAATCAGTAACAAGGATTTGTAGTAATCATGTAATTGTAAGTCATGATTCTTCAACAGAATTCCAATTAAAGGTGATGGAACTTTTGGAAATCAAAACAATAAGAGAATTTAATATTTCGATTAAATATATACAAGAAATTTGGCCTAATACTAAATCCTGGCTGAATTGGTGGTTACTCACTGATGCAGGAAAAATTCTTTTTCCCGCATTGAGTCCAATGGATCCAGAGCTAGAAAAATTGTTGCCAAATTCAACTAATGCACAAGAGTCCATTCATCACCAATATTATTTGTGTGGAAACACCAATCAATCAATATTAACAGGTATTTGTTTTTCCTAAAATAATTTTTTTTGCACTGTATCATATAATTAATTAATTTAATTATTTTGCAAAGGTTTGGAAAGTCTTCTTCTTTTTATGAATTCCTTGGAATCAAATTATAATGATAGAGCTAAAGGGCAGACTTTAAAATATGGCAAGATGGAACCTTGGAAGAAAGTTGCAGAAGAGCATGGATTCACTAAATTGTCACGAGGAAAAAGATCTAAGAAAGGTGCTGGAATTAATGACCGTCGCCCTCCTGATACTACTAAAGCTCTTCTAAAAAATAATAATGCTTCAAAAAAAAGTTTTGCTAAAATTCAAGAAAGATATCAATCTTATACTCATTGGAGAAATTCTTGTTATGTAACATCTCTTTTAGAGTTGTTGTATACATGTTATCTCAATGATATAACCTGGTGGTCTGCAGATATTGGAATATTAAATAGTAACTCAGGACTAAAAAAGTTATACACAAGTTTTAATATTCGGGATATGATAAATAGCTCAGCAACAACAACAAAATCTAGCCTCAATGAAGCTAGAGAAATTGTTCGTCGTCATATCCTGGAAAAGAAATGGCAAGAAGATAATGAATATGGATCTCTGACATTTTGGTTCGAGAATATCATCGCTGAAGAAAAAAGTTCATTGAAAATAATGTCTCAATTTTGTGTTCTTGGAGTACGCATATGGACATGTAAATCTGGACATATGCGTATTTCTCCAACACCAATTAAGCCATTTTTTCCAATAAATGGAATGGAAGAATTCGAAACCGATTATTTTAAAGACAAGCCTGAATTAAAAGGACAAATTTCAGCTTTCTTTGAACAAAAGAATAAGTATGTTCATTGTATCCATCCAGATGAACCTTGTCCTCATGAACGTGCAAATCTTTGCAAATGTGATAATCGGGAAATTAACTATGAAGAATTAATAATTTCTTGGCCATCAATGTTATTTTTTGAGATAACACAGAGGGATAACAACAGCTTTAATTCATCAGAAGAATTAGACTTTCCTTACCATCTTTCTTGCAGTAGTTTAAATTATAATTTAATTGGGCGAGTGTATAGCACAACATCAAATGGGACACATTTTTACAGTAAAATAATCAGAAACATCAATGGCAATGAACTAAGTGCAGTCTACCATTATGACGATTTGAATGGGGGAATGTCAATATTAGAGTCTAAAGATCCAACAACACTCTCGGGAAAACATTCTCTAAATATTATTAGTGCATATTTGTTAAAAGAAACTGCAGCTCCGTATACTAATCAACAAACAAGTTAGTAAATTAAATTATTTATTCATTCATTTTTATTCTATTTTATTCATTTTTATTCATTCATTTTTATTCTATTTTTTCATTTTTATTCATTCATATAAAATTATTAAGAATTTTTTTTAGAAAAATTATCTAACTACAATATAAAAATTCCCGACCAAAATGCAATTTCAGGAATAAATTGTGAGTTTTTTGCAAAGTTTTTTTTGAATTAAATAATTAAATAATCAATTCCTAACTTTTTTCATTCTTTAGTAATTGAATATTTCGCTGATAAAAAAAACCAATTCCATACTAGGTAAATATATTAATATATTAATATGTTGAGTCAAAATCAAATTGTTTCACGCGCATTTTTTTGTGTGAATTTTATTTATTCACACAAATTTTTTTACAGACCTAATAGTAATATTTCAATTACAAATAATAATTTAATTGATCACAACGAAGATGGAAAGTAAGTAGTAATATATATATATATATATTGAATTTTAATTGTGCTATATTATTAAAGTTTTATATATTTTTAAAAATTACAATTTTTTTTTTTGTGTTAGTGTTAACGTAATTAATGAACAAGAAGTTCGCCGTAGCAAGCGGATCAAATTAAAAAATAATATAAAGAAATAAATATTTTTATGTGTTTTAATATTAAATAAACATTTTTATATTACATATTTTACAATATAATAAATAAAGGATTTTATATTACATATTTTACAATATAATAAATAAAGGATTTTAAGTAAAAGAGCCTTGAAAAGGACGGGGACAGGTGTTGGTTATTTCCTGTCCCCTGTCCTTTTCTATTTTTATTTAAAGAATCTTGAAAAGGACAGGGGACAGGGTCACATTTGCCACACCTGTCCCTTGATTTCGCCTGTCCTTTTCTATTTTTATTTAAAGAATCTTGAAAAGGACAGGGGACAGGGTCACATTTGCCACACCTGTCCCTTGATTTCGCCTGTCCTTTTCTATTTTTATTTAAAGAATCTTGAAAAGGACAGGGGACAGGGTCACATTTGCCACACCTGTCCCTTGATTTCGCCTGTCCTTTTCTATTTTTATTTAAAGAATCTTGAAAAGGACAGGGGACAGGGTCACATTTGCCACACCTGTCCCTT